TCTACATTCTTTTCAATATCTGTCTAAATCTCGCTCAAATCCTAAACATGCGACAATCCGTCTACGTGCACTTAATTTTTTATTATTTCGGTAATGTCCGAGAAGAAGGGAATATGTTTGGCGTGACATAATGCCCGTCCTTCTCCATGAGACCGGCCACGTCGTCAGGAGGCGAGAGAGGGGGGGGGGCGAAGGCAGGGAGAAGGAAGGAGAAATATCATCCGACGCGATATGTTCGTACCGTGGACGGTATATGGGGTAGCGCGCGCGGAAGGATCTATCTCTCCCAGATAGTCTGGGTGGGTGCTCTTTCCCTGTAGTACGAGGGGTGGGTGGCCTTCGCGCGCTGAAATGGCAAAACACAAGACACGGCGGCGCGGGAGGAGGACGGGGGAGACAGGGGGAGCTTGGGGGCCGCCGAAGGTGGAGGAGAGAAGGAGGATAGCGACGGGTGAGGAAGAGAAGAGAGGGCGGGGGAGGGGGGGCGGGAGGGAGAGAGGGCTGGCGAGGTAGCGACGTCACCACGGAAATCAAGAGTAATGCCAACACGAAACTGCACTACCCCTCGCGCACCCTTACCGACCCCTCCTCGCTCCCGTCTTGCTCTCACACCCTCCCCTGGCACGCCGCCCCTCCCGTTCGTTTCTCCCGGTTCTTTCACCGTTCCCTCCGTTTCTCTCACCCTCTTCGTCCCGTCTCTCCACCTCCCCCTGCCGCCCGCGCCCCAGAGATCCCTCCGGCCGGCCCACGAGTCTGGTGGTGCCTTCTCTCCCCGCCTCCGCCCGAGTCACCTCACCGATCTCACCCATCCCCAGGGAATAACCCCCTCGACGGCGGCGGCGGCTCCCGCGGTGAGCACCGCGCCGCCGGCGAGAACCTTCGGTGAGACGGAAACGATAGCGGCTCCCACGAGCACTCGCGCTGCGACTAGGGGCGCGCTGCCTGGATCCTGAGAATTCTCTCTCTCTCTCGCCTTCCGCCGTCCTTCCTTGCTGGCTCTATCTTCTCGCTGTAACGGACCGTTATATCGGACCGCTGTCTTCGTGAACATCGGGGCAGAAGTACAGTACTACTTAAGAAAGCGCGCTCGGAACGATCGGCTGATTAAAATACTCTTTTTAGAAGAAACTAGCGAAAGTATCTCGATCGTGGTGCCGTATAAGATATCGTCGTATTGCGCTATGTTAATCAATTTAATCTTGATACCTACGTGAATTAAACACACGGGACAAAGTTGTTTAAACACGAATCTTATTAACACAATTAAATTATAAAGAATTAATTATTCTATTAATATTTAATTAACACTTGCTGCATACATTTAATAAATAATTAAGGTAAATAGATTTTACATAAAAGAAGAGAGGAAGAAGAAGAGGGAGAGAAAGAGAGCTCTAGCTAGTATTTGGTTAAAGAATTCCTATGGATATGTATATATTAATAGAAATTAATGTAAAGAAAATTTAAATTAGATTTTCATGATCGTTAATAAAGTACTTGGATTAAAAAATTTCAAAGTAATTTTTGAACAACCATGTTTATTATAATTTATAGAAAAGAATTTCTCTGCATAACACAGGCATTCGGATGATGAAGAGGTACTTGCGCGTAACAAAAAAATGACCATCGAGTAATACAATATTTATAAAATTTGAGAGAAGGATAAAAGTGAGTTTGTTCATGTTGATCAACGGGAATTATAGCACGTTGCCAGTACGAAAAACGAAAGTGTATTTTCTGATTTTTTTTTTCTTCAAATCCCACTCTCGCGAAAATGTGGCCATTCGTATGATCGGCTATATCCGTGCAGCTCCCCAGCAGCGCCGCAAAACGTCTTTTAATATACACTATATCTTCGGGGAGCTGCGTGTTTATCCTCGTGGTCTTCCACGATGCGAAGGAACCGATTTGTGCTTTGATACGAGCTCGTTCCCTCGAATCTGTCGTGAAATTCACCCTACACATTACCATGCAGTATGAACGCGCATTTGGTTGATTTTATTACTGAGAAATAAAACTGTGGCGGCAAGTGGCTGAAATAGTAAATTATATTAAACTTAATAAAAACTTAGGAAAAGAGAAAAAAGTGAAAGGAAAAGAAAGAGAGAGAAATAGAATGTTAAACAGCTTTCAAGCAAAAAATAGTTAAAAATTACATATTGCATCCTTGCTTCAAAAGTAATACCTCTCAAAAAATTAAATTTCCCAGAAAAGAGAAAAAACTATTCAATTTGACAGAAAATTATTGATTAATTAAATAATATCGGTAAAAAGAACAGTTTCATAACATGATCAAATGTCATTTTGTCATTTTGTTGCACAATCTTCAAAAAACAATTCTTTCTGATTTGTGACTACTTTTATGTTTTATATTTTATATTTTAATTTAAATTAGTTCACTTTTAATGGTTGATAAATGGAAAATTAGTTCACTTTTAATGGTTGATAAATGGATAATGTTTACCTAAATAGTTTGAAAATTTGTGTTAATTTAATACATTTTACATGTCCCAAACGGTTCACTAAAATTTTGGTATTAACTTAATACAAGATAAATATATTACAAAATAACATAAACAATTTATGTAAATAAAAATTAATACGAAAAACGTACGTGAAACAAATCTTATGTTTTCTAATCTAATATATTACACGTACATTGATTATAATACGTAAAAATTAACACATTTTTTGTTTATTTTATTTATTTTTATCTTTTATTTATTTAATGAATCAAGCTAATCTTAGAATTTACGTTTTTGAACTTATTTTCATGTTGTTTATTTACTTATTTATAAATTGTGTTACTTTGACATTAAAAAATATAAATATCAATTTAACACATAATATTCAAATTAACATAATCACATTATGTTAACACTTAAATATGTTAAAAATTTCAATAATAAATTTAGCAAACATTTGAAGATTGTAACACCATTTAACACAAGTATAAAATATTGTTTATTATGTAATTCATTTGTGGTAATAACTAAAAAAATCACGTTTTTTGAGTTATATCTCTCTTGAAGCAAAAGTACAATATGTTCCAGTTTATGATAACACTTATCTTCTAGGTTTTTCATTTAAACTTTAATTGGAAAAGGAAAAATATTTGTTTCACATAGGTCACTTTTACAAGAATTGTTATAATTATTACTACTTTTTCTGCGTTTATTCTAGTTTATTTCTTAGCTTGATTCATTAAAGTTGATAAGTACTTCCAAGGAATGTACGCGTCATATATAAGACGCTTACACGGCACAAGTTGCGCGCTATTATAGTATCTTAATTAACTAAATAACCGGCGAGATATTATTCGAGCTATGAGACCGTCGGGATTAGAGAATGCAAGTGTTCGAAAGATTTTCTTATATATATCCGAAACAAATGAAAGCCAAGAAAAATGCTAAAGCAAGAACTGCAGAAAGAATCTCAGTCTTATATTGCAACAGATTAAATTAATTTTGGCGAATTAATTGGTTAGTTAAACTGTTTAGCGTTAAGTAAGGGTCTATTCTCCCTTCTCTCTTTTAATTTTACTTCTAATCTTACTCGTGCTATTCTTGCGTTTATCGCTCAATCACTTTCTCTCATTTTTTTCCCCCAACCCCTTCATTTGCTTTATTTCACGTTTAATAAATAATAAATATTAAGTATCAGAAAAGACCGAAATGTTACAAACAATTAATAATAAGTTATTGTTACAGGATTTAATATATGCTACACGAGCATTGATTTATTAGCTTGCTTTTGGCAATTTAATTATGATATTACGTTAATACTCGGTTTAGAGCAGTGTAGAAGCACGTGATTTGCGGGCGCGTAGTGTACTCAAACCGAATAATTGTAAGATTCACATTTATAATATTATGAAGCACCACGGTCCTCTTTGACTGTGTTGTCGTCCTTAAATAATAAATTAAATTTTAAAATAAAATTAAATTCTATCAGAGAAGAATCGAGAAATAAGAGTAATATTTATTGTAGAAAGATGTTTTTTCAATTATTATTACTATGAGATTATTTGCAATTAAAATTATTAAGTGATATTTTAGAAAGATAGCAAAAGATTCTTTTCTTAACATTTTTACAATAAATTAAATGCGTAGTTTTTCTAAAGATAAGTTTTTATTTTGTATATTTCCCATTATCAATTCTTAATAAATAATAAAGATGTAATAGCAAAGAATTTTTATTCATATACAATAAACATATGTACATGTTATTTAGACTTTTAAGTACAATATTTTATAAAATAAAATCAATTAATTAAATGTTTAAATAACTACTTGCTTCTTTTCAAATAATAAAGATAAAGAAATTGCATAATTTCCAATTAAACAATTTAAACAATTTTATTTCATCTGAATACTTAACAAAAAAAATTAACACATTTTTTTCGAGAAAGGTAAAAATTATATAATATAAAATAAAATGTGTTAAAAAGTAAAAAAAGTATCATTAAATAATTAGATTCGTTTTTCTACAATAGATAAAAATAATCTACTGTGAACGTGTGGCGATACAACATTACTTGAGATTTAAGAGAACTTAATGTATTAAATTCGTTAATTTAATACATTTAATTTTATATATATTTAATAATATACGCATTTGTCAAGATTTCATATGAGATTAATCCGAGCTTTAGCGCCACAACGTACTATATAACCGTGTGTGTTTTAAAAATAAAGTATAAAAAATCTTATTCTACGTATTGTTAGCGATAATGAGACACGTCTCGACACGTAAATATCGCCTATAGATATCTTCTAAAACAGCTTGTAATATAACAAAACAAGTTTTTAGAATTTTAAGTGTTGTTAAAACTTAATGCCCACACAAAATAGCTGTATTAGTGATGCAATGTCCTCTGTTAACAAAACTCGAGACTACGTTCTACTTTCTAAGAACGACATAGATGCATAAAATTCATTTCTCAGTCTAACATAACTTGCCCGATTCTATCGATGTCTGAAACATATTCTTTTACTGTATACTTAGCAGTCAACAATTCAATTTTTAATTGATAATATATCTTTTCAGTCCTATGGTCTTATCTCTCTAGTTCATTACCAACTGGTTAACTTCAGTATCAACCGTGTACTCATGTACAAATATTTGCTGATAATATATGTACATACAAACAATATTATCACGTGTCCACATTTTCGATGTAATTTTCCGCCAACTCCGTCCGAATTAATTGCGCCAATCGCTCGAGTGCCTGAAATATAAGTAAGTAGATATAAATATATTCGGGCAAGTCAATTTGTTTAGCAGCATCGATGATAAACGTGCGTTGCGGCGAAACTTTATTCACCGTCGATAGATTAGATTCTGTACGTCGATAAAATAAAATAAATTGACATGACAATAAGATTGATAAAACAATAATTTAAATTATAATACGTTCAAATGTTTAAATTTGACTTAAAATTTTTTTTTATGATTAATACAATCGATAATTTATAATTTAAAAAATTTCTGTAGAGATAGGGATTTATTTTTATAAATTCCTATCTCTAACTTAAAACTTTCTAACGTTTGTTAATCTTATGTTAAAATATTAATAAATATAAAATAAATATATTAATAATAAATTTTGTTATACATATATATTATTATATGTATAAATATTATTAATAATAAATTTTAATCATTTTTATTATATTATATATAAATACAAATATATAAATTAAAATTACCAAATCCATTTCTTCATAGGAAGCCTTAGTGAAACTTGCTCTGATGGCGTTACAAGGTTTCGAGGTGTCTCTCATAAATGCGGCTCCTGGAGCCATAATAACGCCTTCCGTTACGCCTCGTTGCATTATCATTTTCCATGTATTCTTGATTCCTGGCACTTTAATCCATAAGAAGAATCCACCTCTTGGTACATTGAAGTCTGCCAGACCTGTAAACCAATTCGTCTCTTTCTAATCCAGTTTTAATTGCGGCAACTTACCAGCTATCTATAAAACATTTTTGCGAGTATCGACACATTTTTTTTGCACGTGAACAACATTGCGTATATAGCAATAAAAAAATAAAAATATGTGTAAATGCAAAATTATAATTATTACCTTGAGCTTTGAACATTAATATTAATCATTCATTATTTTTTTCTGTGTGTAATAATTTCCTTTTCTATACAGTTTTGGCGATAAATATAAAGCATCCTTAATTTATTACATTTTTTTAAAGTGGTAATAAAAACCAAAACAAAACTAACAAAATATTAAAATTGTTATAAAAATAAACTTTATTTTTTAATAAAATTGCATGTATTTTAATTTTTTTATTTATTTTTCATTGGATATAAAATGTTTATCACAATTTATAAGGATGATGTTTATACAGCTGTATGTATCTTATTTATGTAAATATATGCATTTTAAAATAAGAAATTATTTTTTAATTATAAAAAAGCTATTATAATGTTAAGTATAAATTATCATCAGATGTGTATATCGAGACAATTACCCACCATTCAAATGTTTACGTGCCAACGTTGAGATAATATCCCTTCGTTCCTTGTAATAGGCCCTTAAGTGCATGAAATGTTGCATCAAGCCCTCGTAACCCCAGAGCTTCATCAGCTTGTATATTATCACCTAAAAAAGTCAGATCAGTTATTTCTTTGCCCTTTCTTTTTCTGGCGATAAAACGGTCAATGTTTACAATTCCGATAAGAAGCGACACGCGCCACCATCGTCAGCTTGATTTATTGAACGATGATTAAGCGAGGCGTGCGTCGACGTTTCATCATTCCAGATAATAATATTTACGGTTATCGCCCTTTTTTTATATGTGTATAAAAAGTATAATAAACTCATTCTTTCACTTATTTTTGCATTCAAATTTAAATTCGTATAGCGAAAACATCCAACGAGTTTTGCTTTCTCTATTTCTCTGATAAATATATTAAAAAGCAATAATATAATTATAATATAAAGAGATTTATTAATTTTCCGAATTGATTTAAATTCAAATAATTTAAGAATAATCTTATGACGCGTACGTCAATTAAAATTTTATATATTTATATAGCTCTATTGTGTATGAACGAGCGATATTTATACGTTACCGGCGACAGGGAAAAGTTTAAGGGTGGCGAAAGGTCATGAAGGGATCCTCGCGTAGGATAAGGGTATCTCTACCAACCTGCGATAAGGTAGGAGCATGGAGATGACTGCTCTGCAAATGAAGTTGTACGCAGGCTATCAGCGGAGACGCGGCGGTCATGAAGCCTAATCTGATGCCACTGCTGATCACTTTTGAGAATGAATCCAACCTAATTACTCGACCTTCCGTATCAAGCGATAAGAAGGACTTAGGCTCTTCCTAAGAAAGAATATATTTAAAAAATCTTTATATTTTGTTTTTTCTTCACAATATATGAAGGAAATCTCTCCAATAATATTTATTTTAATATATTATAGATTTATCTATTATATATATTTATAATTCCATAAATATATATAATTTTGCATAATATATCAGTTATATTATAAATTCAAATATAGATTACGTTCTATCTCAAATGTTGATGAAGGACGTGAAGCATGAAAGATATTAATGATACGCGAATTCATTGGTATTACTATGATATTACTACTCATGAATTTTTAATAATATCTTTAATGATTTACCGTTTCTGATTGCATCAAATGTAGCACAGTACTTATAAATGTATATTGTAATTAACAGATATCTTTTATTTATATGTTTCGAATATACTGCTATTGCATTACATTTCATCATATTTTCAACAGCTTTAAAAGATATAAAATTTAATGTTATGGGCCATTCAAAATTTAATTTGTAGTTATGCAAAATTATGCCGAAATTGCGTCAAAGATACGTCATACAGTAAACTTATCTAATTTGCACTGTAATCTGCGAGTCCGTTTATGAAATATGCTATTGCGTTTTGCAGAGTTCCATTTTTTAAGTAATTTCCGGTATAATTATTTGCGTAGTAAATATTAACGCATGTATATTTATATGTCTATTAATACGTCTATTAACGTACGTTCACATTTATGCGCGGCTGGATTAATTTCTTTATATATCTCTCTATGTTAAATCACACATTTGTTTGTCGCATGTGAAAATGACTCACCTTGTCGAAATGCATAAAGTGATAAGGATCGTCGTCAAGAAGCAAGAAATTGTACTCGCAGGCTATCCTGTAGATCTCTTTCCGTCTCTCCAGGGGTATAATGATGCCGGTAGGATTTGTGCCCGTAGCATTTATGTACATTATCTTCGGCATTTTCCCGCCGGAAAGCTCCCGATTTCTTAGAGTCTCCCGAAGTATTTCCGGAATGGGACCTTCGTCATCCTGCGCGATCGTTATGAGCTCTGCTTTGTGAGGTGCTACCTGCGATCGAAATCAACGACATACCTTTATTATCGTAGTAACAAAAATTTCAAATAAATTGCTCAGTATTTTTATATAATTTCGAAGAAAGAAGAATTAAGAAGTTGTAAATTATTTTAAATTAAATTCAATTCAATTCAAGTCTAACACACACAGTCGGAAAATTTGTGTTAATTTGTGTTTAACACATTTTACATATTCCGAAACGATTCACCCAAATCTTTGTGTTAAAACAACAAAATGAATATTTTATAAACATAATTATCGAAAAGTAAACTTTATGCAAAAATTAAAACGAAAATGTTACACATTAATTACGATTTCAAAACAAATTATGTAAACATATTTCTTCAGTAAAATTAACATTCGTAATACGTTAAATTTTAACACGTATATTCACCTTTTATTAATTTACCTTAAAATTTACATTTTAACACTATATTATTTTTATGTTATTTATTTACTTATGTATTATCTTAACACTAAAAAAATGTTAAGTGTTAATTTAATTTTTCTTAGTGTTAAAATAACGTAAGGTATTCAAATTATTAACTTAACACTCGAGTATATTAGGAATTTAACATAACAAGAATTCGAGTGGTTCTTAACACAATTAAGTACAAATCTACTGTGTAGAGATTTACTATTGTTATACAATTCAACATTGTGTTGCTATACAACTATACACATTCTTAATGTCTACAAATATCTACAAATATAAGAGATATTTTCTGTTTTGTTATACGTTTCTATATTGCAACATAAAAATAAATAAAATCATATTACAGCATTTTTGAAAAGAGAAAAAAAAATATTCTAAGAGAGTTTTACTGTACTGTCGTACAAATTATCACTTATCGTATACTTTGCAGCTAAAAGGATTAAAACGACAGGAGACGCGTACACGGGATCCTTCTCAAATTTCTTTCTCTAATGAAAGCATATCTATATATTTACTAACCACAACTTCGACGCCAGGGTAGAAGGGGTCGGGGACCAAAATCGGATCACCAGTGCCGATTATAGCCTCCAGAGCCTTGCTAAGCCCGTCCTGAGACCCCGAAACGACGACTATGTCGCTACTCTCCCATAAGGGCGGCGCGTGTGCCTTTCTCTGGAATTCCCTCAGGGCCTGAAACCAATTTGATGTCCGACGTTGTTAGACACATTGTAGCCGATTTCCCTTATCTCGGGGAACGAAAGATTCCGGGTGTAATGGTACGGTCGATTACACGAAGCCGCAACCTCCGCGCGCAAACAATGTACGGTGGTGACATAATCAGGCGCGGCGTTATAATTTATAATGGCTTACTATCGAAATATTTTTGCTCCTCTGCACGTCTTCTCTTACCTTTATCTCTACTCCGTCTCTGTCACGTTTACATTTATCTTATTTCCCTTCTAATTGTAACAAGTTAGACGCGTGGCGTTTAAGTTGAGCACTATGAGTCACTGACATATCTGTGTCCATTTCTACCAGGGGTCGATCGTAATTAAAATAACATTATTTAAAATATGCATTTTAAATAACAAAAAGTAAAAAAGTTATTTAGTATTTATTATTTTAAATAGCTTCTTCTGATCTATTTTATATTTAAAATTTTAAATATGTTTTTGGAATCTATTTTATATTTTTCATTTTAAATAAGTCGTGTTTCTAGAATCTAGAATTTTATATTTGTTATTTTAAATAGATTATATCAGTTACTTTATCGACTTCTGTTTACCAGGGATCGGTTGTATTTAAAAAAATTATTTAAAATTATTTAAAATACATATTTTAAATAATGTTTTTTTACGATACGAAGCAGAAGTCGATAAAGTAACTGATATAATCTATTTAAAATAACAAATATAAAATAGATTCCAGAAATACGATTTATTTAAAATGAAAAATATAAAAAAGTAATAGAAATAAAAAATTAATTGAATTATTTAGTATTTATTATTCTAAATAATTTCTTCTGATCTATTTCTTATTTAATATTTTAAATATGTTTTTGGAATTTATTTTATATTTTTCATTTTAAGTAAATTGTATCAGTTATTTTACCGATCCCTGATTTCTACCAATGTAGATTAACTTTAATCTCGGTCTGACTTACTGCTCATCTTTCCCTAGTTCTAAGAATTTGAAAACTCTGCATTGATAAAACTGGACATTATATAGTTTTGCTCCGAAATTTTTACATTAAGACATTTTTGAAGAAAATCCAGATAATCAGATAATCTAGCTGGAGAATGTTTTACCTGCAAGAGAGGCGGATAACCTTGCGTGGGTATGTACTGGAAAGCGGCACCTAACTCGTCACCGTCGAGAGTGAAGGACGAATCATCGTAGAGTTTAAATGAGATTTCCGTGAACGGGAACGTTTCTTCGTTGGGCATTCCTTCCGCTAAGGAAACGGTATTTTTTGGCGCGGAGTACGCAATTTTAGCTAGAACAAGTAAAAGATCCCTCATTGTCGATCATCCGGTTGGTATAATACAAGATATTCTTTTTATGTTTGTCGAGACAAGACATTAATGTTCTGTCAATATATTTACAATTAATATAGTTAATATATTTATAATTAATTATGCAGCCGTCGTAAAATTAACTTGTCAATTCTCCGCGTAAATTTTGTATCTTGGTGATTTTATTAGTCTACCGATATATGAAAGAAAGACTTTGCAATTATTGTTAATTAGATGCAAGTCGAATCGCTCGCTGATTTATTCTTTGTTTTTTTTTGTTACTGATTATTGCGTTACGTTTCCTTCACGACAATAATAAAGAGAAGAGTTTGCTACTTACTTAGCTCCCGTGTCGTAGCCGGTCGCCTGCGTTTGGCGACTTCCGTTATAAAATAAGAATAATCCATTTCTCTGCTCTATAATTGCACACACTCGTTCGATAATAAGTGTTCGACAAATTTACAATCTCCGAATTGATCAGTTATTGATCACCGTAAAATCAGGTACGTTGCTGTTTTTCTTCTATACATACAATCACAAGTCAACACAGCTTATTATTAATATAGATCGATTGTTATTGACCGCCAACGGCCGATTAATTTCACAGCTTAGAAAGTCTAACGAACACTCCGTCTTTAACTCGAATTTTTTTTTCTCTTTAGATCATATGTCTCCCGAAAAGTAAGCGCACGTGGACAAGAGTCGGAAGCCTACTAAAGTGAACGCTTCTGTTACCTCCGTCAACACTGACAGCGCGCTCGACTATGCCTGCTTTTATATTTGCGATAACACGTTGATTGCGTCAGAAAACCATTTCATGTACAAAAGGAATACGATTCACATGTAGTAGAGAGAATGTAGCTAAATAGTTTCCCTGATTATGTTTACAAACCCGATATCGCGATTTAAATCTTATTACCAATTAGAGATATAGTTTATATAAATTTGAACATAACAGTAAGTGTATATTTGTAGTACTTTTTGATATATTCATTACGTAGATTCATACAGAGCAGAAAACATTTTGCATTTATATAAAAATCGGCTCATTTAAATGTTTGTTAAATTTTTATATTGAATTTTTATTATACCTAGTATTAATTTAACATAATGGGATTTAAATGGTTATTTATTATTATGTGTTAAATACTTACTATTTTTAGTGTTAAAATAATACAATATATGAACAGGTGACTAAATAATATCAAATTAACTTTATTCAAATTACTTTTAAAAATTCTAAGATAATTGAATAAAATATGAATGTGCACATGTTAATTTAACATATTATATAAGTGTTAATTTTACTGAAAAAATGTGTTACCACATTTGTTTTAAAATTGTGTTAACTTTTATATAATGTTTGTGTTGTTTTCTAACGTATTTATCTTGCGTTAAATTTAGTATAAAAATTTCGGTAGACCGTTTGGGACATGCAAAATATGTTAAATTTATTACAAATTATCCAATTGTTTCCAAATGTAAGTATAAGTATTGTAAATTACAAAAGATTTTATATATTTTCACCAACGTAAATCAACTTTGATCTTAGTTTGACGTATTTTCCTTTTTCTAATTCCGAGAAGTAGTCAAGATAAAGAATAAGTGATTAGTGAACACGAGCATAAAAGAAAATATTCAAATCTGGAAATACCTAAACCAGCTCAGAAAATGGGGAAGAATATCTGTAACTTCCCGTTATGATAAACAGAGATGGAAGCGAGATAAAAATTGCTTCACTAGTAATATATCTTTATAAATCATGTATACGCGTGAATTATTTTTTACATTTAACATGTTGAAAGCCAAGTTCATTTAGTTTATCTTTCTTTTATTTGCGTCACGCGTACGAATTCCAGAATGTATATGTCGCATTTTGTAATTGATACAATTTGGTTTTTTTTTATCTTTCAATAATTTATTAAATATTTGAAACATTACAAGAAGAATTGGTGTGAATTCCCTGAGCTCTCTTTTAATACATTATTTTTATCATCCGCGAAGAAACGAAATTGAAGTTTACAATTTTCGATATCAAGACAGTAGTTTTATTAACATATATTTTCGTTATTTAACAATCTTTCAATTTTAAAGTAAGTATTAATTCCTGCGTTTTGTAATGTTAACAGAATAATAACAGTAAGTGATAAATTATATTCTTTTTTTCTTGAACTATTTCTTTCCATTTACTGTAATTTTTAGTATTTATCTATTTTTCTTTCGTAACTTCTTGGTCGTGTTGGACGTAATTATTACGTTATCGAAATCGACGCATAAGAAAGATAACATCGACAGTAGTAACAATAATGTTCAAACAACATATATTTTTTTCGAAATTTTCTCGTTGCACACTTTTCTGCTCAAACTCACTATGTTTTACGTGATTTCTCGAGCGTCACCCGCGTGCGAATATAAAACAAAATCTTTCAAACACAGATGTGTTTTATTAAATGGACTTATTAAGCGCAAACACAATTTAACGTAACATGTCTGAGTACATGTGTACTTTTTTGCGACAATTCGACAAACTCTTGCGTCTAATCAGTGTGCTTGTCAATATCCGATTTTTTTCATACGTTATTCTGTTCTTTTAGTCAAAACATATTTTTGAACAAGATTATCAGAACAGAATTTCCTAAAACCGCATGGACACGGTATTTGTAGATAAAGATTACATTTCTAAACTTCTTGATTATATAAAATTTCTGAGATGCACCATTCCGATAAGAGCAAATTTATATTTCCGCTCTTGAAGTAATAACAGACGGAATGCAGGTGAATCAGAAACTAGTAATCAGAAGTTATCAGAAGTTAGCGAGAATCTCTTCGTCGCAGCCAGCACGTTCGCAACTTTTTTTCTTTTCAATGGAAAATTGCACTTGTGTCAACTGTGATGTAACTGAGGGAATATAGTTACGTGAATGAATGATGAAACGTTATTGACAATCTTGTGCGTCTGTCACTCGTTAAGCGCTATCGGGGGGGAATCGCCCTCGTATCACACACACGCGATTACGTGAAAGCATTAATTACACAACAATAATAGTCTTGTGAAGTCAATGATTTATCCTCGCCGTCGACGATCTTTATCAATATGTTAACGAAATTCCGTTACTTTATAAGCGAAATTTGTGAATGAGTACATGTCGCAAATGTATTATAAGGCATTGGGTGTTGTGTAAATATCTTAAGATATATACAGTAAAAAACATTTTGTATTTATGTGTGAAACGGTCCACTCACTTGTTTGTCAAAATTTTGTGTTGACATTTTTAACATATTTGAGTGTTAATTTAATATAATGTGATTATGTTATTTAAATATTTTGCGTTAAATTGATATTCAACATTTCTTAGTGTCAAAACAACACAATTTATGAGAAAATAAACAAATAATATAAAAATAATGTGTTTTAAAACGTAAATTCTAACATAAATGAATATAATACGTGTTTTTAACATATCATAAATGTTATTTTTATTTAAAAAATGTCCTTCCACAGTTGCTTACAAATTGTGTCAGTGTTACATTTTTTATGTTAATTTTTTAATATTTGTGTTATTTCCTAACATATTCATTTTTTAGTGTTAAATTAATACAAAAATTTAAGTGCACCATTTGAGACTGTAAAATGTGATTTCCAACATGGTAAGTATTTTGTTAAACACCACATGTAAGAATCTACAAAATTGAAAAATTTGTGTTAAATGTGAAAATTTAACAAGTTTTACGTGTTCCAAACGATAGACTCAAATTTTTACATTAATTTAACACAGAGCTGAATATATTAAAAAGTAACACAAATATTATATTTAAAAAAAGTTAACACAAAAAATATAACATTGACATAATTTGTAACCAAATTGTGGAAGCATATTTCTTAAAGAATTTTTTTTTAATTTATGTTTTAACATTTTTTTTAGTTGTTCACTTACCACTAAATCGTATTAACATTAAGAAATGTTAAATATTAATTTAACACAAATATTTAAATAACATAATCGCGTTATGTTAAATTGATATTTGAATATTAAAAATTTAATATAAAACTTAGGGATCAGTTTTAATATAAATGTTTAATACAAAATGTTTTTATCTGTGTAAATACAAACATTTGAAAAAAGCACTTTTAGTAAGTAAAAAATTCGAACAACGTCATTAAACATTTTGTGATGTGTTTAAAAAAATGTAGTAACAATGTCTCAATCAGGGATCGGTAAAATAACTGATTCAACTTATTTAAAATAAAAAATATAAAATAGATTCCAGAAAATTATTTAAAATAAAATATCGCAGAGACCAATAAAAAACTGATACAACTTATTTAAAATGAAAAATATAAAATAGATTCCAAAAACATATTTAAAATATTAAATAAGAAATAGATCAGAAGAAATTATTTA